ATAATTGTTGTTTTCGATGTGGGAGAAAATTAGAAAGCTCATTAACTCCCAGATAATTAAATTATAATTTCAGCCTCGCAAATATATTGTCGGATATTATATTATTGCGTTTAATAATCTATGCCATACAAACTACGTTTGATGCGGCATGGTATTCCTGAACGAATCGGCGGCGATTGTTTATTTCGTCTTTTTAATGGGTCTTGCATTATTTCCTTGCGAGATATCAGTTGATATCGGATATCCTGCAACGATGACGTATCGGCTGTCGTTTATCAGAATGAGATCGCAAAACGCGTTGGCGACACGCGCCGTTCCTTCAACGGCAGACATCAGAATTCTCCTCAGAAATATAATTAACTGTATCTCAAAATAGTAATTTCTTATTAATAATTGCACATATAGATCGATTGTCGGCTTCACGAGCGGCTAGATGCTACGCCAAATTAGAAAACCGATACGACCTGCATTTTATGTTGCTGCGGGATTTATTTTTATTTCCAATAAAGGGAATTTCTGTCTTTCTCTCTCTCCACTTTTTAAGTTAGAACCGTTAGAACTATTTTGTCTGCTTTAAGCGGATAAAGCTTATAGAAAGCTAGTTCCAGATAGAAACCAAAATATTTTGACATGATAGAATATTTTCTCTTATATTTGTTAATATTCTCTAAATGACTAATTACTTCTTTTTTAGAATTAAATAATTACTTTTTAGAGAATTAAATATTTAATATTTAATAATAAATTTATATAAATTTATTAGATTTTATTTAATAAAATGTGGACGATTAATTAATGTAAAAATATATAGAAATGGCTAATTTTCTCTTTTTATTTGATCTATAAAAATGTTTATGGATAAAAATACGCCATATATATTTTCAAGTACATTTCAATAAATTAAATGCTTTTTGTCAAAGCAGAGTTTTATAACGACATAATTAAAATGTATTAAAAGAACTAGTCGCTTTTCACTTGGTCTTTACATAAATTGATTTGCGACGTGCATTTTTAATAGCTTGTTAAATTCTGCAATATAATAATACTGTAATACATTCTAAAGGAAGCAGTCGTTAAAAAAGACGGGCAGAATATAATTGGATTCTGATGCGATTCTCTTTGCTATTACGTATTGAACGATTTACGCATTCACTGCATATTGAATGACGCACTGAATACATAGCAAATTAATAACCACTTGCAATTATATGAAACAACAATTCCATTAATGCTAATGAATTTTACGGGAAACCCTTGTATAAAGCATTTATTTTATCGAAATTTCACCGCGGTTATAATTTTTATTCAAATATTTGCCCGCCGCATGTTTCGACATCTATGGTACTTCAGTGAACAATAATACTTGTTTAATCCAGAATCGATCGAGAAACCGTTGCAGCAGGGAGTTTAATTGTTTCTATTGTATCGTCGATTTGATCTTGCGTGAATGGCAGCGCTCTGCCAGCTGTTACGCGGAATAGAGTAGATTTTTTTTTATTCAGAATAAATGTTCTTCAAGAAAGATTAAATGAGGTCTCAAGATATGCATGGAATAAATTTGTACAATAAAAAGATCGAACGATGCTATAGGTTAAAGGTTAAAAACATCAATAAATAGCAAATCCAATTCCAATTAACGTTTCTTCAGCCAGTTTGTCATGTATTTTGTCTTGATACAAAAAGATTAGATTTAAATTAATTCTAATTTAAATCTGAATTTAGTTTAAAATATTGAAAAATTAAAAATAGAAATAGAATGTGGAAATGAATTGTAATTGCTACAAAAAAGCCAAGCCGATATTTGCAGTGTAAATCTGTTGTACAACGAGAACGCATTTAGAAACGAAACAAATACTTGATTCTACAATTATTAGCTTTATTGTTGAAGAATAGAAGTATCTACATTTACTTCAAGACGGCAGAATTAACCTGTGTATGCATTGTCTGCCTAAGAAAACTGAACTTAAATCTCTTCTGAGAAGAAGACGTCTTGCTATTCCACTTCGTGCCGTCATAAGCTTGTTTCCTCACGTCTCGTGAAATAGCACTTTTCAGAAAAGCGGAGACGCTATCCTAACGTTTGTCCACCTCGGGATCGCGGAAAGGAAATTACGAGTGAGGGAAAAGGAATATTAATGGGGTCTCTCTCTGCCACGCCGTCTGCGGGATTTGTTATGTGAGAACGTAAAACCGTTTTCGTCGGAAAGAAAACGAAATCGGGGGAAACGAGGTCCTCTTCGCTCAGAGAAGGGCGGTTCGCGGGTTGCGGGGGAGGGAGGGAGAGAAGAGAAGAGCGCGCAACGCGAAAGTTGCAAATGGGCAAAGTTACGCGACGGGAACGGAGAGGGGATACGAGGGACTTTCTGTGTAAGTAACCGAGCTTGCGAGTTGTGCTTTCGAATAAAGCTCCGGTCTAACGATCGGGCAGCGTGCGTGCTCGGAAAAGAAATCGTAAGTCTCGCACCTGCTCCTGGAAATTTTTATTGCCATTCTGGATTACATTTGACTGACCTGCCATTTTCTTCCGTGCGTTACGTAATAGACGTCTCATGTAAAAATACAAAGTTAAAATGGCTCACGCAGAGATATGAGAGACACCCAACAAAATTTTTTGCTAAACTTTTCACAACGTAAAATGAAAAAAAAAATTGACAATAGGAGAATTATATTTATTTTTTTAATATTTCAACTTTAGAATTTAATTAAGTTATAACCGTGTGCGTTTTTTTTTCTACTCTCAACGCGAAACGATTTAGCAAGCAATGCTCAAATTAAATTGATAGTAATAACAGTACCGGCAATAATATCCCGTGAACGAGAGATATCCATCTGTATGACAGAGGCAAGCACATTCCATTTTTCCGTAATATCGTTCGAGCGGATGAAAGCCTCGAGGAATTTCGCGCTGCCTCAATGTCAACCTCAAAAGTTATTACGCGATGGATCCATTTGACCTAGATTCGTAATTCTCCGGAAAGTTGGCCGTTGCCGTCGAATCAATCCATAGATTCGCGAACGAGATCGGCCCGGGCCCTGACGGATAAATCGATTTTGATAAATGCCGCGAAATTAAGCCTGGGTCGCGCTCGATATTTCCGGCGCTTTTGTCACATGATAACGCTAAGCGGATTGCGAGCGAAACTTACTTACACATCACGAACGCGCGCGCGCGCGCACGCGGGGGTCGAGGGGGGGGGGGGCGCAATGGAACGGATTAAAAACTAAAATGATCGCGAGCAAAAAGTTTGTGAAAAATTGAATAAGCTGGAATGAAATTGGAGCCGCATAAAAATGTCTCGCGTGTATCCGAAAAGTTGCGGCAAGAGGGAAATTAATGTCCGGCATGAAATAAAAACTGCCAACAAGAGAAAAACGCTAATACCAAAAATAACAGAGATACCGGCAAATTGGGACATTCTGTGAATAATACGAATGATTAATAAAGCGTAGACTATATTAACATTTTTTTCTATTTGTTTTCACGCGAAGGTTACATAATTCGCATTATATTGCTAGGTGTGCTATACGTTACATCAGATCACTTGATGAAGTGTCCGATGTAAAAGGAAAAAAAAAGGCAAAAAAGCGTCGAAATTGCGACTGTGACGATTTCGCACTGATTGCATTCAGCGTAGGATAAAATATTGCGGCCGTGTGTGGCCCACACGCGTGTGCGAGCGCACAGGAGAAAATTGCCTTCGGGAGAACTTATTGACCCGTATTTCATAATAAAAGCCAACATTACAATTGATTTGTGACGTAACCGTTGCTGTATTGCACAGGTAGGACATCATCGCTGCTGCGGTGTTCGCCGTAATAATCTCGCGTGCTCGCAGCCTTTAAAGATTTACGAAAACTTGTTGCACGGGAATATCGAACTGACACGTTATTTCCGTGAAGGCGCCATGTGTAATAATTAGAAGATCGTATACGAGGACACGAAAGCGTTCCTTGCGAGGCATGCTCCTTTAAACATTTACGGAGGGAGAGAGAGAGAGAGAGGACTCATTCCAGGAAAATATATTTACATTCATTCTAAAAATGACGCAACGATTAATTTCATTACTAGTTTATTTTATCTGTAACACACATTTCTTTTTTTAAAAGAATCGGGGACGATGGAATCGATTTTTTTCCCGCGGTTTTCCATCGCAGGGGGCAATGTTCAGGTATGAACGAGATCTCTCGTGATCCATCACGATGAAACGCTCCGGATCGGTCTCTCTCTTTTTTGCCGGAGGGGGATCTGGGCGTTGTAAGACGGGTTAAACTGAGCGCCGTCGTGTCTCGCACTATGTTTAGGTAGTAAACCCTCCACCGTTCTCTCTCGACGGTTTTTCGCCGATTGCGGGCGCAAAGACGCCGGCTCTCTCTGTCTCTTCCACGCCGCACACCCGGGGAATCTCGCCGCACACCCCTCGGTATTCCGAATGCACGATACATCAGGCGCATTCGCGGGGAATTTGTGGGCGACGTGTCGAGTACGTTCCTGGATACGTACGCCGGCCGGGAATACCGTCGTCGGGGCGCGGTATTCCCCGTGTGAAGCGTCGCGACGTCTCCCTCAGCGTGCGCCTTGCTAGGATGGCATCCTCCTCCCCGGCCCACCCTCCGCGGTGTCTCCCTCGCTCGCGTCTCGGTCGCACCGAGATTTTTTTTGCACCGACTTCACGTTACATTCGCAACGCGTTCGCAACATTAAATACCTAGCTGGCTGGCTCTCATCGTTCGTGTAATACGCGAGCGAGCGAACGTGACCGATTACATCGTGCGCGGAACGATTCTAGGACGAGTGACGCTACAACTAAGTTTAAAAATATCCTTTCCCGAAACCCCGATACTTTCGCGGATGCTGATTTGTATTCCTCGAGTGCCGCGACCAGTGTTAGATTTCAAACGCTTAAAGTTTAATTTTAGCGAGAGAGAGAGAGAGAGAGAGAGAGAAAATACGATAGTTAACTTTTTAATATTTTCTAATATTGTTGTTTTATTTTTTGCAGCTTCAATCGTCGGTTCCAGCTGCGCACAGTGGGTCGTCATTCACGAGCTCCAAGGGACAAGAATATTTTATAAAGGTGCGTCCTATTTATTAGTGCAAAAAAATGCAAAAAACATTAATCTTGCAGTCGCGTTGGAAACAAATTTAGATTAATTTTTTTATAAGCCTTTGAAAAGCGAACGGTACTGTCTGTTACACTGAACCCTTCGTTACACCGAATTCTTCAATTTTCGTCTTCTGTTATCGTTATTGGCTCTTTTGGCAATTTTCGTCCTTTGACGCGGTAGATGCGCACGAGCGAAACATGCCAAAAGATAGCAAACAGAATAATATTATGTGACATAAAGACTCTTTCCTCGAGATAGATAAGAACTTCCATATTTTCTCTGTCTCTTAACGGAGGAAATAGGTACTCCTTTCAAATATGTGAAAAGAAGTTTTGCGAACAAAGAAAAAACGTTTCCCATGCTCGTGATGATAACGTTACGAGCGTGCGGGGAACTAACATAAGTCTCGATATCTTTAGTTAACAATTGACAGAATAAGGAGAATTCTGCTACTGTCGCTACGTCGGTATTATTTACATTTGCTGCCACGTTAATATATGTTTTTAATTAATTTTTGTTTATTGTTTTTATAAATCTGACCGCGAGGAATTATATAAACTGCGCGGAAATTTTATCAGAACGAAAAACGGTTTTCAGATCGTATACGTTTTGTTTTTAATTTTTGGCAGCGAGAAAAATATATATTTCTAAAAACCATTTGTATCAGCGCTCTTTTTTGCATATTCCCATATATGACGAAAGCCGAATCGAGCGAGATGCGCTGAACTGCGATTAACAGAAAGAACCGAATGGAAATCAAGGCTGACATTTACTCGACGAATTTGCCAGTGCCATGTCAAATTCGTTTCAATCGCCGGGTATTTGCGGTTTATTGCTGAATCCCATCCGATCTAACATGTTTACGGTGATGCATCGAATTCGCGCAAATCTTCTTTCTGATGCGTTTCGCGCTATATAACCGAAGCTTTTATCCCACGAGAGTATTGCAGTCCGAAAATATCCTCACTATCCATAAAATAGCCACTTTGATAACGAAGCGTGAAGTCTTCTGTAGCGCTATTTTCTAACGTCAAACTTATTTTACTTTATATAGTAAAATGTAATTAAAATTTAAAAAAATTTACGAAATATTTTATCGTATAAAAATAAAATGTAACATTAAATTTTAGCATATTTATTAAACGTTGTTATGAACGATAATGAAATAGGTTCTTATTATTGCTATATCTAATCATTTACTGCGATAAACGTGGCTGTTTTAGTATAATGAAGGAAGCAGCCTTTTCTTCCTGAATTGTGAGTCAGCGAAAAAATCCAAAGCGAAAATCGGTAATGCGATATCGATTCTCATGTAAAGTCCTCGAGCAGGTAAAGACAGTTTTTTTTTATTTTGTAACTCAGTTCGCCTCTTTTTTTCGTCTTGCACGAACCTTAGCGCGCGCAGAGGGGTAATTGCTTTGAATAATGCGATTCCCGAATAACCCCGCAGCTTTAACCGCGTTATCAATCCTCCGTGGAACTACGTGGTCCTTGGTAAACATTGTTTGCCAAGGGAACGTCGCTTCAAAGTCCCCCGGATAAATGTCATTACGCTCGTTATGTGCGGCCGCGCTTTCTACTGAAAGAAACGAGCGCACAGATGCAGTAGGGTGGTCCCCCTTAACCCGTTCAAAATGGAAACCTCCTTCGATTTTAGAAACCAACGTTGCCGGTTCTTACATTGGGAACGTGTGGCATGGTACTCTAAGCTCCTTTTGGTATAACTCTTCTCATTCTATTGAAGAAACTTAGTCTTATACCTCTGAGAATTCAATTTCTTCTTTCAGATAATTTTTAGAGCAACTGGTCTTTCGCAGCATTTAGATTTGTCGAAAAATGACTCTTTTTGTGTCGCTTAAATAAATCTTTATTGCGAAGCTCTACGCATTTTAACGTGAAACTCGTATTACTTCGCAGTAAAGATAATCTTCTTCTCGCGAAGGCAGCGTGTTCCGTGAAATCGCATAATCGAAAAGCTATTTCCTCACACGCGACAATACCGTATTTTTTCTGCATAATACACGCCGTATCGCGCCGACGTAAAAATGCTGATGTGTCCCGAGCGCTAAAAAGTATACCGTTCTACAAGAAACGTTCTACCGGGTCATGGCTTTCAATATTTCGTTCTTTCTTCGCGAGTGAAAACTTTGCGCTTCTTTCTCCGACGATCTTTTCGACTACCTCTTTTGGATACATATTTCTCAATTTTCTTCTCTCGTACGGTTCTTATTTTCCCGATCCATTCGACGAATCGATTTATCATGTCGGATAAATAGTCTGCTCTTTCATTTTATTTTTTAGAAACTCAACGCTAAATGTAAATATTGCTCTTAATAATTTCAAATTATAATAATAATAGTATTTAATACTGCAATATGTAACATTAATGTACTTAATGTACTTTAGTATTTTCAATGAAAGCAAATATAAATTTCCGGCGAGGCAAAAGTGTATATTTTACATTTTCCTTCTACAAATCTAATTTATTAAATGTGCGGTAATGTGTGTGGTTGGAAATGAAAGATGGATAGAAGGGCAGAGAGAAACGGGAAGGTGCAGGGTATAGGAAGCTGGAAGATACATAAGATATAGAGAAGCAGACAAATACATTGAGTTAATTAATTAGAGTTACTTAAGGTAAGGTAATATTGGTTGTTTACCGCAAACAAGCGAATATCTGCAGATAAATACGATTTGTAATTGGGCGGGCTAGGAAATGCGTCCTTAACCGGGGCAAAACAATTGGCAATCGGGGTAATATCGAAGGGTTCGGTGGAACACGAAAAACGACGGTGCCGTTTTCATCGGGAAACGAATCGTCGCGTCCCGCATCGATGCTGACGCGACGATTACTATGTCCCTCGGCGTCCTCTTCGATGATTTTCCGGTTCCTCTTAATCGAGCCAGCGGTTTCTTCACTTCGCAGGGGCTCGAGGCGACACTGAGTGACAGCAAGAAGAAGTACAGCGACAAGGTGGGCGCGCTTCTGTCAGCCTGGGAGCATGTCACTAATTATATTCCTGCGGCACCGCCCGAGGCCATCCAGTCTCTCATAGAATGGGCTCACAGGTGGGTGTACACGTCGTCCGTCGATCGTTGTTGTTGTTGAATTCGCGATTATATGCGGCCGACCCTCGATTAACGGAGAACTCGTTTCGCGTACGAAGACACGTACAAGGGCGAAGGGATACACCGTTGCATAACGTTCCTGGTCGTGTTACAAGGCACTACGCGATTTCTACATGGAGACTTTCAATTTTCTATAACGAAATAATTGTGCAAAAGTATATTTATATTTTAATTGAAAAAAGGATGATAAACCGAACTCACTCAACAAACGTCAGTAGCCTGTTATTTTTATAAGCTAGAATATTCGATATTTTTATTGAGTGCAATTTTTTAAATGCTCCTTTTAGAAATAATGAATTTGACACGAGCAAGAATTCTTTTAACATCATCCTTTTTTAATTTACATTATTATTGTTATTACTTAATTTAAATAATTTCTTGTATAATGTCGGGATTCGCCAAATTATATTTACCACTTAATTATGTTTATTATTATTGCATTATGAGATCTCTCCGCGCGCATATATGACCCATTTAACGCATAACGTATTCAGTCAACTCTTTTTTATTTTTTGGTATTACCGGCCGGAGCTTTTTCGACACAAAGGTAGCGTGAAACGAGTTTCGATGTAACAGGCATCGTTCTACGGCAGATGAACGTGATGGGAGAGAGAAAAAGCTAGAGAGAGAGGGGGGGGAGGAGGGAGGGAGAGAAGTGGGGAGAGAGACAGACTGCACTGAGTAATGAATCTGCACGTATGTAGCACCGTCATACAAACGATCCCGGAATTTTGAATAGCAATGCGACGCAAATTCACGTTAACGTGACGGGTATACAACCGAGGCACCCTACGGGTACAGGGTGGTCCAAAAGGGAGATGCGCGAGAACATTATTCTTCGTGAAGTTTCCAGTCTGCCGTAATGGAGGTCTGATTAGCGGACCGTTTGGCATTGTTGCTGGTGAATGAATTAAATCTCGTGGGTAAATTAGACGTGAATAAGTAATCAAGAAGTCCGACTTTTAATCCAATTTTGTTCCAACGAGTTTTTCGTTGATGAACTTTATCATTGCTAACGCTAATTGTAAGATGGAGCAACAGATTATCGCGAATTGACAGGATCTAAATTTACTCTCCTTTTCACATCTAAATCTCCTTAAAGTGTAAATCTAATTGTATAATCTAATAAATATTATTGATGATGATTTAAACAAATAATGAGTTAAAAAGAAAAAGGGACCAATTACCAATCTGCTTAGAACTCAAGCTCAGTTGAAATTCTGATTTTTCAAGATGCAGATATCTATTTCTCTCTCTCCTCTTCTTATTTTAACATTCGGCTTCGCCGATGGGCATCGGCCGACGTAGGTCGCGAATTGTTGGGAGACAAATACGAAAACAAGTCTCGCGCAAACACGTCCCGCTGCCCGGTTTTTCTTTTTTCACATTTCGACTCACTCACGCTGTTGTCCTCCGTTGCACAGACATACATTGACATTGGTATTGCGCGGGGAGTGGCCGAAGTTGCCACCCGTCACCAAAACGCACCTCTGCGTGACGCTACAGAGGTGTGCGTCTCAGCTGGTGCAACATCCCGCTGCACCCAGGTGTACCGCCCTGCTGGCTCTGGTGAGCAATCCATGGACGCATCCCGTCCTCGACAGCATACTTAACGGCCAACCGGATTCCGAACATGAGGAGGGTAAGAAGACGAATTACCACTGTTTCGATGTAGCACAGGTCCCATTTTAAATTTGAGTAAAAAGTTAGATCACGTGTCGTTGATCTTATAATATCCTGTACTCAATCTCGAAAAAGTGGGTTGTTTGAACAAGATATATTTGCTCTATTCAACGCTTAATTTGACGTTTCCATTAAGATGGAAATATATAGTACGATTACTAAAGTGAGATTTATTAAAAATGACAGTTAAGAGCTTACGTCGTGATAACATAAATAATATTACATTTATAGTACTTGGTTTATGATACCTCGCTTTAGTAACAGCGAATTAATTACGTTACATTCTGACATGTAAAGTTTGAAGAACTCCTTATTTTAAATATGAAAAATGGGGGAATAATATTTGTGTAACCAGAGTATTTCTATTTTGTATACATACTTGCTACTATTCTTTTTACATTCTTTTAACATTAATTGTATGCAGAGTAAAACTTTTCTAATATATATATAAAACTGATCAAAATTACAAAATAAAGCAGAAATCTCGGAGACTCCACATTCACAATTGAGGATTAATATTTTAAAAAGAAATTCACTTACATTTCGTCGTATTTGAATACCTAATTTTGTATATTTAATTAAAATAATTGTACCTAATAGATTTAGAGATTTAATTTGTGAATTGTAAAAAAAAAAATTAATTATATAAACCACATAGTGTGATAAATACGCAATTATATGATAATAGTCTGTCTTTCGTACATTGAATTCTTAATAGTTCTCGAGTGCGATTACATTGACAAGATTATTTTACCTGCCCAATCGTGTCTCTGGTGACTTTTTAATTGTTCAGTTTTCGTTAAATTCTCAATGACCGTATATCACGAATTTACAGAGAAAACTAGAAATGCCATTTATACTAATATTATTCGAAAAACTTTTGGCCTTTACATACACTCATGATGTTTATTTCAGAGTTCTTGATTTTATTTTAATTCCAACTGAATTACTCGTGGTACTAGAATAAGTTTTTCAATAATTAAGTTTAAATGGCACATAAATTCGTCAATAATATCTAAGTTTTTTGGATCCCATAAAAGGTTACGGCGTTGAATGACCAATAATCCAGAAACATATTATGCTTTTAGAATTCTGTTGTTCGGAGAAAGGCGAGCTGCTGACGATGAGACTGAAGATACTCTGCGAGGACCGCTGCGAGGACATAGCGGTGAACCTCGCCGCCGCGTGCGTGCGCTCCCTTAGACGAAGCGATCAGCTGCGGTCGCTCTCGGAGTCTCATCACGTCCACTACATGATCGACGTGTACATCGTCCTCTTGTACAAATTGAAACGCACGCAAGATATTTTCGCTCAAGTGAGTGTCGATCAAAAATGTCACAGATTGTCACAAGGGATGTTCAATCGATTTAGATTGCCAGAAGTTGCTAAAGTACAAACGTAGATCTACAAATTTCAAGCGATATTCCAAGAATAGTCACCTGAGTTTTACATTGAGAAAATAAGTTGAACAATGATTTTCTTTACTGATTGAGAATTTGTATTTATTTTTATTTTTTTAAGAAAATATTAAATAAAAATCTATATATATACATACATTTTTATTGAAAAAAATATGTATATACATATATATATATGATTTTAAATAGTAATAAATTGTAGAACAATCAATAATATACAATATGTAGTTCACGTGATTGTTTGCGCAAAAAAAGAACTAGGTGACTATTCCCGAGTTAAACCAATTTATCTAGTTTGAAGAAGTGAAATTGTGACGCATCTGATGCTCCACGAGCATCATCGAAAATGCCAGTTCACTATGCCATGAGTCATATCGACCTACTTGCTTAATTTGCCAAGATCTTCTGAAGTGCGAGGGTGTATTCGGAAAATTTAAAAATACATATATCAAACGATTGGTATCGTGGAAAAGTAGAATTAATAGTAGATGCATTTAGAAGGGCAATTCGTTTTCTTTGTGATTGAAGAAACGCGTGTTTCGCGTTCTGTGCGAATATTGCCGTGTTGGAATTCATAACTGCGCTTTGTTACAGTTAAAATTAATGGACCTCAACGACGGGCTTGAATTGGTCCAAAGGCTTAGCGGTGAGAAGCCAACGAAGTATGGAACGGCGCGTGTTTGGAGAAATTCGATAAAGGCTGCGGAATTGGTCGCGCAGTATCTCGTTACTGCCGGGATGGTTCGACCGGTATCGGAAACCGGTGCAAATATTTTGGAGCAGATTTTGAACTCTTGGGCGCTGTTGCACGGAAAATTGAAGGACGTTGCACTGACTCTGCCCGGCATGATTAGAAAATTAATTGAACCTGCGGAAAGTGCTCAACATATTTATATCTTCTGTGCAGTACTTGCAAAACATGTAAGTAAAGATTCAATCTGGAAAATATTGAATATTTGGAAACTATTAAAATATATTTAGATGGTTTTTTTATTTTGTGAGATATATTAATAAAAAATTGTATTGTGTGAGAGAGATTTATCAATGAAAATTAAATATATTAAAAGTTAATAAAATGGATATAGAAAAATCAAATTTTATTTTATCACATTCAAAAGCAAAGTTAAATAATTTTTTTTTTTAATTAAACAAATAATATTTTTGTTGAATTTCTTTTAATTTCAGTTTGGCGAGAGTGTAAAACCATTGGTGATTGAACTGTACATCAGAGCGCTAACAACGGATATGAACGAGCTGGAGAGTCAGAAGGCGAAATCGGACAAGGACAAGGTGCGCGAGACCGCCAAGCGTCTGAGCACGCAATTCCTCAAATTGGCGGACGTAGTAGACAGCAATATTGGCATCGCAAGAGAATGCGTTTTGACGGCGTTCTCGTTACATCCTACCAGAACCTGTTACGATAGAATAAAGGAATTGGCGGTGGCGTGTGGAAAGGCGAAGGAAGATGGTATTTCGCAAGAGGAGCCAACTATCAAGGAAGAGCCAGGTATCAAGGAGGAGCCAAATATCGAGGAGGAGCCGAGTATCAAGCAGGAAGTAATTATCAAGGAAGAACTCAAGGAAATTGAAGAAGATAATTGTCGTACGTCAGTCATCAAGGTCCAAGTGAAATCTAAGGAAAATGATAGCGTTCCAGAAACATCCTGGATACCATCGCCAAGTTCGACAGTTTTGGAAGCGCAGCCACCGCATCAAAATTTGACCGTCGAAAAGGACATAGATCCTCAAAACTATCGGATGACGAAAACGTTCGAACAAACCAATCAATTGCTGAAGAGTCTGTTGACGGCAAAGAATCCTAACACAAAGTCGTTTGACGTGACAGTACCAACGACGTCGACCAGCGGCAAGTGTCCGTTGCACCTGAAGCGTGAATCTTCGTCCGAGATGATTGGCGAGCTCTGTTTCAATTGTGGGGAATTCGCTGGCAATAATCAGCTCAACGACGTTAAACCACAATTGGATGAAACGAGCGCGACACCAGACCAGAACGTAGAGAGAACGTTGGACGCGTTGATTCTGATCAAAGGCGACGCGGTGACAGGCTCGGCGAACTACGACGAAAGGTCTGTGCCCAGCCAAGTTCTGGACGGTGAAAAATTGGGCCTGTCGCCGCAACTGTGCGATGATCTGGCCGTAGTACTGAGTAGTCCACGTTACCACATGCTCAGCTGGGTGCTGGACTGGAAGGAGTTGAAGACTTTGTGCGAGCGGTACCTGGAGAACGCTGAGGAAATGCGTAATACAAACAAAGAGCTTAAATATCTGAATATTGATTACTCGCAGTTCAAGGATTGGCCATCGGAGGACGATGCTAAGGACGTCTTCTTTGGCATTGAGAAAGGCTATGAGCAGTGGGTCGATCTACCATCCGACAGTTCCGAGCAATTCGGTAGCTTCCAGCCGGCGGCCGGCTATAAACGTTCGTCGATGCGTCGCAGTTTAGACGATACCACCACGGATTCCGACAGCGGTAGTATATTGCGTGTGCGGCGTACCGCGCGAACACGGAAAATCCACCGGCTGGAATCGTCCGAGAGTGACTACGACAGCGCTGAACGTAAACCAAAGCACTTTAGAAATAGGATCAGCTCGGTGTCGGACAGCGACAGCAATACGCAGGACAGTCAGACTGACAGCTTAGGCAGCGACGGTTGTCGGTTAGAGACCAAAAAGAAATCTAACAAATCGGGCGGCAAGGAGCCCAGCAAGAAACGTTCGAAGACATCGAACCTCACCGTCGAGTCCGTCTCGCATTTTCACATGTTAGTGAATGAGGACGTGCGGCACACGAACGCGCACGAGGATGCCAGCGGCTCTGATGTTAGCAGCAATGACATCATCACTCTTTTCGCCGCCGATATGGACGAAAACAAACGCGAGACGATCAAGGGATCGGCGTATACCGCCGCGACACAATTGATCATTACCGAAAGGCGAAGCGATCCGGCGGTGCTCAAATCTCTTAGGATGTTCAGGCCGCAAAGCTCGAAAAAACCGTCGAGGATCTCCCAGATTCTGCAGAAGAATCTAATAAATAAGAACAAGGATACTAACAACGGCAATCGAACGGAGCATGTCGAGCAACAAGCAACAAACAATATTGCGAAATTTGCGCCTATGTTGAGCACGCTAAATCTAAATCCAAAGATTGTGCTGACGCGCGCGGACGAGGTCGACCGTAAATTGACGAGCCGCGGTAAGAAACAACAGAAGCGGCTGAGCAGCGGTGACATCACCAATGAGCTCATGAACATACAGAAGACGATGCCGTTCTCGCCAAACAAGAGCGTAATAACGTATCAAAAGAAACAAAAGCAGAATGCCGCGAATGGTAAGAATAGCGCCAGCAAGAGCGACCTGCGCTGTCCCGTGATAGTTGACGGACGTCGCGATCATCACCATTTCGGCTCCGTCAAGTCCAACTTGGGTAAGACCAAGTATGATATTCTCGAGAAGGCCGTTAGAGTCAGGGATTCTGTTATATTGGCCAAAAATGTGCCGGGTCTGAATACGTTGGATATGATGGTACCGCCGCGGCAGCGTTCCACAGTGAACGTTGTCCAGGTCTCCAGAAGCGGCGTGCCGCAGAGTCCGAATTCCGCCACGGGCACGCCAACGACCATTAACGTGAGTGGCAGCACACCACCGCGACCGACGCGCACTCCAAGCGTGGCTAGCAACCAAAGTAGCAGTGGCGGTGGCAACAGCAGCATACAGCTGCCGGGTACCCCGTCTTCAACGGGCGGCCACGACAGTGGTGTCGGCATGAGTCCAGCCGGCCAGACGCCACCGTTGAGATCGTCATCGAATCTTGGAACGCCGGATACCATCGGCGAAGAGGCCAATCAACCGCTGGATGCTTCATCACCGACGACTATCAGTCCAACGATTCCGACAACGATGTCTACCAATAACGTGATTTCGGTGATCCATCAACTCGACATCGCTGCTACCGAGTCGTCGAGTCCGGTGAGAGCGATAGCGCAGATGCGTCGCGCTAGTAATCAGCAGAACAATCAGTCGCCGAAAAAGTCGCCCTCTTCGCCGTGCACCGTGGGCGCAGGCGTGATTACATCCACAACGATGACGACGGCGACGACCACGGCGATGTCTTCGGGCCTGATCACGACGTCTGAATCATCATTAAAGGTCATCTGCAAACCCGACGGCAGCTTCCATCTCGCATCTGTCAATCCCAACCAACTTGTGTCCAATCAGAGGAACCTTTTATCAGCAAGCCTGCAGAATCTGGAGGACAGCAGCGGCGCAAATTTTACGCGACAGACGACGCAGCAACGCGGTACGGATGGAACAGGCGGCGCGTCGTCCAACAGAAACACTTACGATCGATTGACCGGCGTCGGTTCCATCGCGAAGAGTACGTCGCAGACCGGCCAGAATGCCGTTTTGCCCAAATTCCAACAGGCCTTTCGGAAAACCTCCCTCTACACCACTCTGACAGCCGACGCGACCGCAAGTGGGGTTGCCAATGCTGCGACAGACACATCGCTGGGCGGCGTTCAACAAGCGGCGACGTCCCCGCAGAAAACAACGATGAATCTATCGAAGGCGGTGCAGACATCCGTGCCGAATAATCAATCGCAGCAGCAACAGCAAGCGAACGCCGGAAGCGTCAACGTGCAATCAATCATTCCGAATGTACAGTTGCCGGCAGGCAGCAGGCAGATAGTTAATATCGTACCGAATTCCGGTAATAATGGTCCGGCGAATGCTTCCATCGGTTCGAATCAGGCCGCGAATCAGACGCTCACGCAACTCGTGCAGAACGTCAGCACGTCGAACGCCGGCGTTATATACACGCACAAGGTAATAGCCGGCAATAATCCGAATCAGCTCAACATCGTTCCACAAACGATTATATCGCATCCCAATTCGGTGCCGAGTGGCAGAACTCCCGTGGTCAAGCTCAACATCATCCGTGCGCCGGTCAGACAACAGAATCTCACGGGAACCATCCAGGCTGTCCTAACGCCGAGATTGCAGCAACAACAGCAACAGCAGCAGGCCGTGAGAACGGACAGTCTGATCGGGTCTCCGATCGAGGTGAACAATTCGGTGAGCTCAACGACTCTGGAACAGCTGCGGGAATTCGAGAGTGTGCTGGAACAGGTGAAGGAGAGGAGTATTCAGCCGCAGTCTCATCAGTCGACCTCCAATAGCGCGACTACAACAGCCGTGCAAACGCAGACCACGACGCAACAGACTCAGGCAAGCAAACAGCAGCAACAGTTAGCCGTTAGCACTCTGGCACAGCAACTGATGATGCCGACACAGTCCAGCACGAACAGCGAGTCGTTTGCCAGTAACGGAAATTCTGTTACATTCCAACAGGAATCTGTGTACTCGCAGAAGGTCTCTCTGACCTATGTGAATCCGAGCAGCGGCACCGCCAAAGTTGCGACCAATTCTACGACCCCGGTAGTTGTGGTCACCAGCTATTGTCAACCAGCGGCGTCGCCGGCGTTGAGCGTCACGTCTCAGAGCTCCTCGAGCCCGTGCGTGACACCGGCGCCAGCGCCGATTCCATCAACCGGCAAAACACCATCGACGCCGCCATCCACCGCAGCTGGGACCACCACCGCCGCCGCTGCCAAAACCAGCGTGAAGAAATCGACGCCCAAAGCGGTCAAAAGTAGTGCCACTAATACGTCCAAGGCATCACCGATACCGAAGCCGCAGCAGAAGCCGCAGGAGGACGAGCAGACTGCCCAGCGGATCTATGCGATTCTCGACGAGTACGCGGAACAGCTGAGAAACTCACCGGATCTCAACAACAAGCCGGCACCCCGCAGACGATCCAATCCGCCAACCAATCCGAGTCAGTCGTCAAAGAGAAAGAAATCGAGCTCCAGCAAGACCAAGCCGGTGGGACAGCAGACTTCTGAACTGAGCCCTAGCACGGACGATCTTGGCAGGACTATGGGTAGCGAGGATTCGTCGAGCGGCGTTGTGCACGTGCAGGGCAGTCCAGCCGGTTTCTCCGCACCAGAGGAACCGTCGATGAGCGCGGAAACGAGTATAGAGGTGCGCAATCTGACGAACGACTCGAACGACGGCGTCGAATTGAATGTGAAGCGGCGTAATCTCATCTTCACGGAGCCAGGCTCGGGCCAGCCGCGCGCGGTGATTGTCCAGGAAACATTGCAATCTAGCTCGGTGAGTGTTAGTGAGGCGCTCGCCTCGGTTACGGGTAAGATGAGCGGTACGTCGGTACTGATGCCCACCAGTATCGTGCTGCCGCTGATGAAGGGCGCGCAGCAGCTCACCATAGTATCCGGGTCCAAGCTGCTGACCATGCCGACGACCATGCGCACGGCCAGCGGTACTACAGTTCCCAACACTCTCCTCCTGCAGTCCTTCCTTAATCAGGGCAAACTGATTCAACAGCCGCAGGTCAAACAGATGAAAGTGCAGCCCACCTTGCAGACGTTATCGAACAACAATCAGACGCTGACTGGCGCGCAGAACGTTCAGAGTACGCCCGTGGTTATATCGCAGACCGGGGGCACGCAGTTCGGAGACGCAGCCACTGTGACGGCCTTGCCTACACCGGATAAGCCCAACGTGATCGGCGAGCTGACGTTGAAGAACGATACCGCGGCCGCTGGTAGCGCGATCACGGCCATCGAATCAACGGCGGCAAACGCTATCGTGGTGAACAAGAGCAATCCCACCCTCAGCCTGATCGGAACCCGGAACATCAACGAGATATCGGACGGCCAACAGATATGCGGCGTTATCACCAGCAATCCGACGCTGCAAAGCACGGCGAGATTCTTCAACTCGAACATACATAAGCTATCGGCACCTGCCCTGAAGGCGGAAAACGTGGTCTGTATTGCGCCAGCCGCTGCAGTCTCCCATTCGCCGGAAAAGAAATCCCCTCAGGACGGGCAGATGCACACCGAGAAGCCGGTGTCCATACAAACGGGCGCTATTGCGCTCGCCTTCACCCAGCAGGCCGATGTGAACGCCATGCTGAACGACGCGAATCAGCAACAGCAGAAGGACACGAAGGAAGCGTCCACCGAGATAACATCCGGTACCAGAATTATTTCACCGAAAGCGGTAAAGAGAAAATTCGACAACTCTGTCGGCACACAGGAAAATATATCGGCGAGAAATTTGATCTCCACGAGCATCGCCACGTCGTTACAGAATAATACGAAAATTGGTAAGGACTTGCCCGACACGTAGTGAAAATGTTTCGTTTTTTTTTTTTTTTTTTTTTTTTAAATGAATTGCAACACTGGCACATTTTTACATGTTATATATAACACATTAACGTATTATTCATTATTTTGCTTCAATTAAAAAAATATTGGTATGTAAATAAACAAATTTTTATTAAGTTAACTTTTTTTTAAGATAACTATAAGTGTTTCTTTTTCAAATTAGTTACGTATTACATAACTGTTATAATTCATAAAAATTCGTAAAAATAATTCATAAAAATCTTTGATAAATAATATTGAGTAATATATTTTGTAATGAAATAGCTTATATTGCAAATGCATGCCAATTCTTGTCAGGTGTTATATATGTATCGACAATTAATTCTCACATATTCTTATAGATTCTATGTCTTGTATGACTTCCACAGACAAGCAAACGAGCGTTATCGATAGCACGCAGTTTTTGGTGACCGGTGGACCGAGTAGTTCGGACAGCCAGGAGTCATCTGTGCAACAATCCACCGAGACAATCGATGGATCTTGCAAAGTTGGAAACGGACTGCTGTACGAAAATGCACGCTTGCAAGAGGCTTGGGAATCGGAAGGAAAGATCTCGCCGGATACGCCATGGAGATACGTTCCTACAACGATGAACACGCTGAGCAACGAGCCGTTGAAAGCATATTCCAGGTAACAATTTGGAGCATACTGCAAAAGTTTTTATCCAATTTAAGTATTATCTAAAGCCAGACTCCTTTTTAAATCTTAAAATTTTTGAAAGAGAGAATTCGACGGTTACGCAATTAATTCCAGGGATAATGACAACTCCGAAAGCGTGCTGCAGATTATCAACAAGGGCCAGGGCATCGAGATGGCGGGCGGACAGATCTATCAGTCGAATGCGAAAAAGTACTTCATGAATCACACTCTAGATACTTCATATTCCAACAAGGTAAAGTCGAATCCCAAATCGGACCGCGAGCTGCAGCAAAGGATAGAGAAGAAGGCCGCGTACGAGCGTGAGCTCAAGCTGCAAAAGAGCTTGTCGGAGGAGTGCGAGGACCTGGGAGTCGACGAGCCTAGCACCAGCGAGCTATTTCCCGAGGCAGATCTGCTGTTCGACACGAATCACTCGCCGTCGTTCGATCACTCCTCGCAGGACGCGACCTGCAGTCAGTCCCTGAGCATGAAGCCGTACAACTCATACTTCCGGTCGCTGGACTCGTCCAGCGGTAGCAGGGACGCCAGTCCAACGAGCGACTTCAAGACGAACGAACGCAAGAAGAACGCGAGCCAACGCGCGAGAGCTTTGAAGGATTCGTCAAAGAGAGGGAAGCGAGAGAGGGAGGATCTGGAGATTCCGACGAAACATATTCGACTGACCTTGGATAATCTGAGTCAGGACGAAGCATCGAACAGCAACTCTGACATCTCCAGACTGTCACCGGCACATCTTGGTTCTTTGGAGAACGATTCGTCAAAAGATACGAGCAATCGCGTGAAATTGATCTCGAGGGGCGGCTCGAAGGAGGGAACACCCAGCAGCGTGTACAGCATACCGTCTAACATTAAACTGGACATCGATTTGGACTCGGAATCGTTGCCGCCCAGCATTAACGTTAATAACACTTCGGCAGCGAGCTCGGGCGATGAGAGTTTAACCTTACTGAGCGGTAATACTGCGGATCATCATACCATACCGTCACCACTGTCACCGTTGGCCGCGGCCGGACCGTTGCTGTCCACGCACAAGTACACATACGCCAACAAGAAGCGCATACCGTCGTCCAAGGTGCGCATGGACTCGTACATGGCATGGGAGAGCCCGCTGTCAGAGCGCACAAGATCCAGCAGCGATGACGAGGACTCTAGCATCAGCGAGTCGATCGGCAGCCAGCTGGAAGACAACGTCGCGCTGAGCAATGGCCTGGAGGACAGTATACAAACGTTAAAATCTTTGTCCTCCGATCGGCATTGCACTTACGTGAAGATAAAGGACAAGGTGAATACCACGAGGGTGATTATAAATCGTACCGATCATAAATCGACGGCGGCGACAGCGACGGCTCTTCCCAAGCGGATTTCCAAGGTAGAATCGGTAGCGGCGACGGAGGCGATGGTGATATCGAGCGACAAGGCGTCGGAGGCGTCGGAGGACGAGACGAGCAATATCGTGCTGGAGCCGGCGGATTGCCGCGCCAGAAGGTCCAGTTTGCGTTGCCACGTGAAGAAGAACTGCGCCTGCTGCAACGGCTCGCCGGAGCGGCCGAAAAAGAAGACGACGACGACGGTCAAGTCGGATCACAAGCTGAAGAAGCGGCTACCGTCGAAGCAGCCCGGCAAGAAGAGGTAGTCCTAGCGATCGAACGCTCGCGCGAGCATCGCAACGTGTTGTTATATCATTAGCGTGTCGTCGTCGTCGTCGTCAGTGGTTTACGATGCAACGACGATGCGGGCGTTTCAGCGCGATCGAAACCGGGGAGTTTGATAATACTTCTTGCAAAACACGATTTCGGACAGCCAACAGTTTTATTCGCAGATCGAGAAAGATCCATGGCGATGGCATTGTAAATATTATTATAAAGGCGCGCTTAGACGCAAATTCCGTGAATCTATCATACTTACAATATTTGGAACATTTGGTAGCTGGCCAATAGGTGGTCGAGTAAACAAGCAGGCTCAGTGCAAGCAAAAGAAATATCCTCCATAATTTTAAATTAACAGTGGGGCTACTTCACGTCGATATGCGTACCATGTGCGTGCATATATATATATATATATACATACATATATATGTATATATATGATACATATATGAATGAATGCATGAATGGAAAGGGAGCGAGAAAGAGAGGGAGAGGATGGAAGTATAATAGATATACGATTTACTACTAAATAGTTCTCGTCGATAACAGTAGATCATCCCTCTACCATTAGGTGTTAATTACGATATTAGATTGTAAGGTACAGATCATTTATGTATGGCAGACTTAGATTTTAAATCGTTAAGGACCGTTTAGCGATGCAATCTAGTCAAGTCGTTTTTTGTGACGAGGAATAGGCGACGAGTGAACAAAGCATTAAAAGTAAAAGAAGCAAGCGAAAAAACCATAACGATCGTTAATAGATCATCCCTCGCAGAGTAAAGAGAGAGAGCCTGAATTTATATAATTCAACCTACAGTATGTCTATCATGGCAAAGCTATTCCACGTTGTAACATGGTGTGGTCAGACTGAATAGACAAATAATTAATAGAGTTCTCTTTTCGAAGAAATATTAGGATATAGCCACAAGGGCGTGCGGCCTCCTTAAGAGTCTTACCGTTCTTGTCTTTCGTGTAATGCTTACCTGTATCTGTATAACTCTAACTTTATATAGAGAAAAAATTGTCGCTGTAAATTCTCGGCACTCTGCTCTTAGACGACCCACGAAGAGACCCGGGGTTCATTTAGACAACACGATTCAAGCCCGCGAGACATATAAAGTGGGGAGGGAGGGAGAGAAAGAGGAAAAAAAAAAAAGAAAAAGATGTGGAGTGGCAATAACATACGTTCTACGGAACATTCTAACAGATGTCTGTTGTACGGCCCGACCATACCTTGTCATGGTGCATGTAAAAATCCACGATTGTACATTGCGTAGATAATTCATTAAAAAGGTATAATATTATATATATATATCGCTGCACTTTAGTACAAAAACGCTTCACTTTGTTTCAAGATGAGAATGATAGATTTATATCGTATCTCCGTGTGCTATCGTGAAACGTGTGAATGCCCGCAAATTTTACTATGGACTTACTCTAAAACTTGTAAAAGCTCGTGAGAACGGGACAGGCTGCGTGGAAGAGTATGAGTTTATCTAACAACATTTCGTTATTGATTAAATAATTACGATTAATGAAAAAAAAAAAAACGTACGTCGGGCGCTGATATCCATTCCAAAAATTTTTATCCCGGCGCGCGATATATACATGTATAAATATGTAGAGAACTTTGTCGAGAGTTTGTTCTTTCTCTCTTTTTCTGTTCTCTTTCGATGTTGCAAGAAAAAGAATATCGTAGCTTTCAAGTAATCGAGGTGTAAACTGTTCCTGTGAATAGTGTCTCATTACGTGATATGAACCAAAGTGAAGGTCTCTGTCGAGGAGGCGTTGAGGGAAACGCGTAATGAATCGATGTGGAAAGCGAGCAGCAATACACGTGTAGAATATGTAAATTGAAATTAATTTAATCTGTAGGCCGTTTTTGTTTTCTTTTATCGGACGTAAAAAAAAATAGAGTAATTAGTTATTTTTGTTTTGGTAATCGTTATAATTTTATGTTTAGAAGAGAATTAAGGACGTAATTGTTGTGGATATAAATAATATATATTACTATCGAATATTATCTGATACAGAGATTATGCTTCTTTGATTATTATTATTATTATTATTCGACATCAAATGGAGATTGAAGAGAAAATTTTTTTTAATTACAATGTTTTTCCGAATTTAGTATCATCGCAGATATTAAAATTATAAAAAAGATATGATTTTATGTATGTATATATAATACAATATTTTTTTGCAGAACAGCGCCAAAATGGAATTATTAAAGAGCACTTTCCAGTTAATTTTATGTGAATTACATATTATATATTATGTGGAGAATCTAAATAAGTTATTAGTTTTTCTGTTGTTGTATTGCGTTTATTCTTGATTTACACATTCTACACGAGTGCTAGCAAATGAAATGATTAATATCTTTCTCTCTGCGAGACGTATGTGATATAATCGTTTTGTCATAAATGTAACTGCGTTCGCAAGAAACACGCGTTCCTTTCGATTTTCCCCATTCAGTTAAAAGGACGGACAAGATACCTACCTCGTGCGCTTCGTCTCTTCCTAGTTTATCTCTGTTAGCCACACGCTCTGGGGCGCTGCCCGGAAATTCGAATGTCCACGTATCTGTAATCGTTATCATTTGTGTTTCTCGCACGGTAGAAACTTCTATGATCTCGCGGCGTGAAAACGAGCGAATCGCATTTCCGAGAAGAAGCACGTAGACGCTTTTTCTTTCTGTTTCTTTTTTTTTCCATTTCCGCAGTCGTTTGATTCAAGTCGTTTTATTTTAAACACAGTTCAGAGCGTTAAAAATAAATTGGGTTTTAGCTGCGAAAAGAAATATTCTGTAACAGTGAGGAAATACATGTAAATAAATTTATGTTTTGAGTAATATTTATGTTAACTCCTCTGACTGTTGGAGTGATTTAAAAAAAATCTATTAACGATGTTGTATCAATGCGATCTTATTAGCGTGGCCTAGATCACACACTTTTTTCTGAAGAGTTTTCTTCCTCGATTTAATTTCATCGCGAGAGGAAGATCCCGAGGAAAAGATTGCACTCTTTTATTTGCGAGATCGTATTACCTTTTATTTATTTCCGCATTGAAGTCAGATTTTTTATGTAATCGAGGCGGTCTACACAAATGCGAGAGAATTTATTTTTTAATCGAAAGAGAGTAAACCTGGAAGCTTTAATTATAGATCAAATAAATTGATTTATAGAAAAGGAACCCTTCTCTTTTTTTTTTCTTGTAGACCGTCTCTCTCTTTCATTCTTTTTTCGCGGCTCTCGCGGTATTCAGCGCGAGAGGAGCATATCCCAACGAAAGAGAGAATCGCGTTTCCACTCGAGCCACTTGTATAAAGCGAGGACAAGTTCAATATATTTATTCCCGCGGTAAGAGTAAGAGAACGAACTCTATCTTCCTGTATATTAGAGAGAAAGGAGAAGGGAGGCGGAGAGAGACAGAGGAAAAAAAAACGATACGGAGAGATATCGGAGCGGCGTGTCTCCGCGTGTATAAAATTCCGAGCGAGTGTCTCTCGCACCAAATAGAGATGCGTATTTTTTGAACGGGACGTCTATGGGAGATAGCTTCTAGCTCACGCACGTCGGACGCGCGTGTACCACTCGATTCGTCGGTGATAGTCTGGCCTTTCGCCACCCAATTTAGTCGTACCAATCGCATTTATCATAGAGGGGTGCGTAGTCTTCATCGTTGAGGTAAATCCGAAGCGGACTCGAGCGAAGGAGCAGAAAAGAGAGAGAAAGAGAAAGAGTAAAAGGAGGAGGACGTACGCATTTGAGGGCGAGAGAGGATCGGTGCCGGTGTAATTTCGGCGAGCTCGACTTCCCGATGCCGAAGACGCACGCGGATTGTCGGCTTCCACACGCGATCGCCACCCGGTAAGGGATTAGAAGATCCGATCTCACCGAGATTCCACACCGGTCATTCAGGCCTTAGCGTTTTGCGGATCAAGGCGAGGTTTCCCAAAGCTAGCTTCTTCAGGTACTTAAAAGAGATAGGAAGGAGGGAAAGATGAGAAAGGCATAGAGAGAGAGGAAAGAAATAATGATAAAATAAAAACAATCCGCTTTACACTGGCCGTTAAGCGATAACTTAAGAGTTTTTGTATCGTATGTTTGTTAAGACTACTGTTTTTGTCACTCAACACCCTACCAGTATTCGAGAGAAAGAGAGAGAGAGAGAGAAAAAAAAGAGCGAGTGAAAAAGGAGTGAAAGGGGATGCAAACGTGAGAAAGAGAATTGAGAGAGTGTGCTGCGAATCTGCTGTTGTATCTTTAGTATCATTAAAACGAGCGACGTATAGTAAAAAGAAGGGGAAGGCGAAGGGGATGAATTTGCGAGCGAGCAAAGGACAGAAGGGTAGAGAGGGTGGAGGACGAGCGAAACGGCCGTACACCGCAAAACGTACATTTATTAAGCTACGCAATGTCGTCTAGCACAAATCGGTCGAGGTAATCGATTGCGAGGGGAGAACCGAGGGCGAGTGTGTGAACGTGACGCGAAACCGATCATGGACGGAGAACGATCGTCGATGGTGAACGCGAGGAGAACGCGTTCCCCGTGCGCGTAACGAACGATTGGAAAACGATGTGAACCACGTGTTTCGCCGGGCAGGGAACATGCAGTCTTGCAATAGACGATACATACGCGACGAATGTTACCGAGAAACACCGGATGTTCCCTCGAGGAAATGCGCCGCGAAGGGACGGGAGATCGCCTCTCACGAGAGGTTCGAGAAGAGACGTTTTTCCTGGAAATCGTTGCGAAGATCGAAGGGCTTTTAGGTGAAAGGAGCCGTGCACCGCTCATTAGTCTATACGATATCCATTACTTTGCATTGAAGGTATCTCGACGGTCCTTGTTGTTTGTCGTTATTCGTCAGGAATAGCGACTATGCGCTGCAAATTATTTTTTTTATCACGCGAAACGGCATCGTACTTCCTCCCCCTTAGAGAAAACCAAGCTTATTTTTTCATATGCGGGTGCTCGGATTTACCTTTTACCGTAAAATCCGTTCGACTGTATGTACAATTCGCGTGTATATTGCGGGCGAGAGGCCGATGCACAAATTGCAATCGCGACTAGTGTGGGGGAGAGGCTTACAGTGTAACACGAAGCAGCGACGAAGCAATCTGTCGTATTTCGCTCGCGAAAGGAGAGGAGGACACACTGTGTAAATAAGGCTTTATTTTGCGAAGCGACTTCGCAACTTTTTTCATCGTATTTGTGCACTTGCAGATCTCTGATGACGGGTCCTTTGCCTCGAATTTGTATCGAATTAAAAGCGCAATCGTGTCTCTACTTCTGTTTTTTTTTGATAAAGGAATTCGAAGTAATTTTTAAATATTCGACGCGCGACGGAAATATGGTTTGCTTCTCATCGAATCTTTAAATCTCCCAGGTTAAATTAACACGATAAAAGTAGAGAAATGTAGTCACTTTATTATTATTAATCTCTTAAATCTGAAACAATAATGCATTCAGAAATTTAGAACAGTTTTCGTTCACTTTTTAAAATAACGTCAAAGTATAGAAATAACATTTCCGTAGTATTTTTCTAAGAATTGGCAAAAGATTGTAATTTTTATATATTGGTTTTCAGCATATGTAAACTATATATATATGTATATGTATGTTATATCATTTCGCGAGAGAAATGTCTTTGCATTATTACTAAAAAAAAAATTGATAAAAATTAATATGTTATGAAAAAATTAGAATTTAAGCATTTTTCGTCCTTAATACTCGGCAGAACTGTACAGATTAAAGTGCGAGGCCCGATGCGAAAAGCTGCTGGGTCGTTTTGCGAGAGGCTCTCGGAGGTTTTTAAGAAACGTACCATATGGTCCACCTGATTGACAAATTGTAAAATCGCACACAGCAGTAGTCGCCCCTAATCCTATTGGATTTTGTTTTTATGAAGATTAACGAGATGAGAGAGGACGAAGGAGAAAGAGGAAAGCAGAAACATAGAAAGGGAGAGAGAAAGATGAAAATACTCCTTGGAATATGACTGTACAGCGTATTAACTTGTCCGGAGGTACATATATCGGGGGATCCTTTTTCAAAACTGAAGTATTAAGGATTGCATATTGTACATAAACAAGACATATTTTCTATATAAGGGACGTCGCTCGGTAAAAAGGCCGATGGCTCGAAAAATACTGCAATATTATGATAATTCTTTCAAGCGGTAGGATAGCCTTTAATCGTTTTATGTAATGTAATGATAGAAAAAGAGAGTCTGGCAGAATAAAAGTGAAAGTTCTGTATTTAAATATCCTGTCGGTGTACATTCATTCACATACACACACACACACACACACACATATATATATATATATACATATATATACACACACATACACACGCAGAGGCGTCACAGCCTAAACTGCGGGAGCGGATTTGATGATCTCGGAGCATTTAATTGCATGTACTTGTACAATTACATAAATCGAAAGTTTTGGATCGCATAACGCTATGAGAAAATTATCGATTTTAATTCAATTGACAGATCATGGGTCTATATGGTTGCACGCAGGTAATATTGAATTTTTTGTATCGCAAACCCGGAATGAAGGAACCATTCAACGTGAAACTCGGAAGGAGCGAGAAATAATTTGAACAAGTTCGATTCCATTTTAGTACAGATTGTAATCGAATGATCTCAAAAACGTAGGATTTTAAACAGGCTAACGTGTAATATATACGAGGATTTGAAAGAGTAGAATCCGTTCGTTGTGTAATCTCGCGTATATTTATTAGCGCGTGTACTCGCTATCATTAGATATTAGCCTTCTTTGTGAAAGATGAAATGTAACAATAATTTATAATACCTCTCTTTAAGTTTTTGTATCCCTTGTACATGTGAGTAAAGGAGTTACAAGCTGATGTTCATACACAAGGAAAATGTTTATTTATACACTGTATATACATCAAGTACTTTCTGAAACGTCAGCATTTTCTTTTTCATGCTCTTTCCGCTGACTTTCCACCTCCTGCAACAAAGCGAAATTTTCGGTTGTCGTAATCATCAGCGTCGAATAAAAAAAAAAGAGGCTACAATAAATCGCTAAATTTTCGCAAGCGTACTTCTTCGATAACTGAAAATATCATACCCTCTGAATAATATCCAGCAACGTGACGTTGTCCCTCGATTGGAAAAACTCGCTGATTTCCTGCGGAATGCAAAATTGCACAGGAGGCTTTGGCTGAATGCCTATTTCCTCACCGATAAAACGGAATTCTGGCGTGTTTTCAATGTGATTTTGTAATTCCTCGTACGTAAAGAGCGTATCCTTCGTAGACGCCGCGTCCAACGCGCCGAAATCTATTATTTTTACCTTATCCTTCTTACGTCGCACAACGTCGAAGGAATCTGTCAGAAACAAATTTTATACATTACTAAATTACTAAATATAAGAGTTACTAAGAACTCATTATTAATTTTAGTACGGCGCTCGTACGTACAGTTGCGCAACGGAAATCTGCCTTTGATGCGCTCCGCAAACAGGCTCTTGATGTCTGTCTGTATATCATATTTTTCTGACTCGTTGGACTTGTGGTACTGCGATATATCCCTCTGACTTATAGCTGCGTAACATACATAATTTGTTATTATATCGCGAAAGTTAACTTTGTAAAAGCAGGCAGAGAGAAATACGAAAGCGCAGTCAACATAATTCAGGAATTCTCATCAATTCAACAATTGAGGAGAAGAAAAGCTGAGCTGATGAAATTACCAATGAGCTCGTTGTCCATGACAAAGCAGCGAAATTCTGTGCAAGGATTGATATCCCGCCATTGTTTCAACACCAGACAGAATGGCAAAGGGTTCTCGCTGTTTTCCCTCAAAGATCGCGCGACGTTCAGATCCTTGGCAATCCTGTCGGAACTTTTCAGTAACAAGTAGATCTCTTCCAGTGTGTTACATTTGAGGGTTTTTGTAGGTGCAACCCACATGGCATCCTGTAAAATAATTACGATTGCATATTATAAATTGTACTATAATTTTCTTTTTGTCTCAATATCATATTATATTATAACAGTTATTAGAAAAGTACGTTATTGCATTATATTGCTATTCTTTTAATAGAAAATTTATAAACGAGCTACATTTGATCCATTAAAGCGAATCACTCACATTTTAGAAAAGGAATTTTTAGTTTTTATACGATACTTTTTTAAACACATACATTCTTATTGTATTTCCTAAAAAAAAAGGAAATTTGCAAGAAATTTTCTTTCTAAAATAAATTGATTCAATTGTGAATAATAGAAAACACTTTACCGCGGGTGTACTCCAGTTTGTTTTGACAAACACCGCATCGTACTCGTCTAATGCTTCTTGTATTTGTTGACTGAATTCGGGGAATGTCGGTTGATAATCCGTTTCCTACAAAGGATTTATAATTGATTACATATATATAGCTAGATTAATAATTCTGTCATTTCCCAAAGAGAAAATATAATAATAAACACCTCTTCCTCGTATGTCACCGGCGAGCCGTCAGCCCATTCGGAATCCTCCGGTAGGGATCTCGCTGCCTCGAGAGGCAACACAAACGTGTCGTGCTCCAAATACTTCAGAACATCGTCGGGAATGTTAAGAATCCTAGCCTCCAAGGAATCCTTCTTGAACGTCGGATACCAAGAGGAAAAGGAGCACTCCAGTTTTAAATCGTTCACCATCTTTCTCTCAAATCTTTTGCGTATACGCGATATCTTTACTTAAAATTGTGTTTTACGAAAGGCTATTGGAACGTTCAGTTAAATTTTCGGATATTATCAGAATGAGAAAAGTAAACATTTGTATACCGATCAAAGTTAGCGACCTGTTTTAAGCGAAGAACATTTCAATCACGGAGACACAGTGTCTAGAATGAACGCAACGAAAGGTTCCTGGCACCCCGCATTCTCTTGGAAACGGATCCATCCTGTTGTTTCGGGCGCCTCTCCGCGAAGCGGCGCGACGCTCGGCGACGAGCGAGAGACGTCAGATTAACGATCTCTCGCTCTCCTTCTCCTTCACTCCCGTGACCCGTCGCAGTATCCACCGTCCACACGCCACTCTCGCCCCTTTGGCTGTCACGGCGCCGTTCGTCCTGTCAAACTCCGAGCAAAAAAGGGTTGAGCGGGGGGGCCCGTGCGTGCGCGAGAGTGCTGCGGAGCGAGGGTCGCGTGCGGGGCGGGGCCGGTTTTTTTTTACCCGAATCTCCGTCGCCGAGAGGAGGATGAATTAATTGGATCTGCTCGCGTACTCCGATATATCGTGTTAGAATCTGGAATTTACTCGCCGATACCCCACACGCGCCGATCCTTCCCCTCTCCCCCCCGTGCAAGTCGATCAGCTCCGTGGACAGCCGCCGAGGGAGAGACAACCATGGAGGACGATCTGCCGACCGAATACGACGTGGTCGTCGTAGGAACAGGTATTGATTTTTATCACGACCGGAGCGGACGACGGCCGCGCGTCCGCGCTCAGCCAGCGAAAGCTCCAACATTTTCGCCGGTAATCCGTCGCTGTCATGATTTCCGACAGGTATGACCGAGTCCATCGTCGCCGCGGCGGCAAGCAGGATCGGCAAGAGGGTTCTGCATCTGGACAGGTAACGGACCTTTTCTTCCGAATTTGTCACCTGTCAACTCGTACCTATAACTCGAAACGTGTTTGACACATATAAGATTACGAGGGCGCGATTGATAATTAATATTTAATATTTTTATTTCATATTCAATATTTTTTTATTCAATCTTTAGGGAATTGTGTCAGAATTCGATGAAGTAATTTTGCAGTGATGTGCTATCATTGGCCGCATTCCGGAAGCTCGCTATATATTTTTCAATGTCTCATTTTATTGTAATTTTATCTTTATGAAGATCTTTATTAGAACGAGGACAGAATGACACAATAGCGCCGATGACACGTTCCCCAATGCAGCCAATGTGTTTATTGAATGTTAAATATTTTCTCAAAAGTCAAAATCCTACATATAACAAATATAATCTCACTTAATCATTTGAGGAAAAGTAAGAAAGTAAAGTATTATCTTGATTCGATTTTTATCATGCGCATTTTGATTAGAGATAAAAGGATTTCTTTCCTGCTACGATATGATAAGCTATTTAAAATTAGAATAACATTCTTGCCTTGAAATTTTTCCTTGTTTTATCTAGCAACGAATATTATGGAGGGCTGTGGGCTACATTTAATTTTGACGGCTTGCAAAAATGGATAGAAGATTTAAAAACGGTCCGATCGAAAAACAAAAGTAACACTAGGAATACGAATGTCGATTTGAAGACGAATGAAAAGTTTTTGAAGGCTAGTGACCAATATTCCACAGTCGAGAACATTGGAGAAATCTGGTATATCTCCAAGTAAGAAATGATCTGGATAAAACTGACTTGTTTAACGATTTCCGATAATATCTCGTATATTCTGACTAGTTTTCTTTTTCACACGCAGCGAAGCGGATCTGCCTGATGTTTCCTCGAAGGACACCCAGACCGAGGGTTCCGGGGACAGTGCAGCCGCGGCCGAGGGTGCGGAAAAGACTGATCAGGACAAGGCTGACAAGAAGGAGAATGTGAAACAATGGAGCATTGACCGTATCAAGAAGGAGTACAGAAGATTTAACATCGATCTGGCGCCTAAAGTAAGACCGCAGATGTGTACTTGTAGACACGCATATTTATTCGTAATGCACACCTGTATATATGAGACATGATTCTCATTGCAGCTGTTATTCGCCCGTGGTGAATTAGTAGAACTATTGATTTCCAGCAACATTGCGCGTTACGCCGAATTCCGTGCGGTCTCTAGGGTCGCCACTTTTATGGACGGTAAACTCACGCAAGTCCCCTGCTCCCGTGCCGATGTGTTCGCTAATAAAACGGTTAGCGTCGTCGAGAAACGAATGTTGATGCAGCTTCTGACATCTTGCATGGAGCAAGGTGCCGACAGTCCAGAGTTCGATGGTGCGTGTCGCATGTGAACCTATTACACAAGGATACATTTTCTTAATTTTTTTCACTCTTACAATGTATCCCATTTATCTTTCAGGTTTCCGTGATAAAACGTTCTTAGAATATCTTAATACGAAAAATCTTACGCCTATAGTACAGCATTACGTTATGCAAGCTATCGCAATGGCAACGGACAGAACGTCGTGTAGAGACGGCGTTGATCGTACGAAGCATTTCCTCAATAGCCTTGGACGTTACGGAAATACGCCCTTCTTGTGGCCTATGTACGGAAGCGGAGAACTGCCTCAATGTTTCTGCAGGTGCGCAGCATTTTTGAAAAACGCGCCGAGGACTTTTCTCTATTTTACTGTCGTCTGAAAAAAAAAAAATATTTCTCATACTTTTATAGACTGTGTGCAGTCTTTGGTGGAATTTATTGCTTAAAGAGACAATTAGACGGCGTGGTAGTTAACGAGGATAAATGCAAGGCCATTATCAGTGGGAGACAGAGATTGGCTTTGGAGCATTTAGTCGTAGGGCAAGGCCACTTGCCGCCGGAAATCGTAGCCTCTGAGGGAGAGAATCAAATATCACGCGGAATTTTCATTACTGACAGGTATTTTTTGGATTTTTTTACAGATTTAAAGATAATAATATTGGCGTAATATATTTTATGGAGTCCATAATTTTTATTTTTCTAATTATTAATAATGTGTTATTTTTCGCTTATCTAAAGGTCAATTATGCAAGGGGAAAAAGAAAGTCTAACGCTTTTGTATTATCCGCCGGAGAAATCAGACCAAGAAGCCGTTACTCTAATCGAATTGGGACCATCTACTAATGCCTGCCCTCAAGGATTGTGTATGTACAACATCAATGCGAATATATTTCAAGATCGGTTTGATTCATGTCTGCATTGTACATTTTGTTTTTGTTTAGTCATAGTTCATATGACATGCAAACGTACTAAGAATGCAAAAGAGGATCTGGCATATGTTGTGAATAAGTTCCTGAGAGCAGAACCACTTGACCCCAATACTGTACGCAGTTCTTCTGATTCTCACACCCAAACAGTTTCTCCTGATAAACGACATCTTCAGGTAAAATATCTCTGTAAAAATTATCAATAATTTATAGAATTATATTTTAAATTTGAGGCCCATTGTGACATGAGAATTATATTATTACTGGTGTGAAAATAAATTAAAATATTTGAAACGTGATATTTTAAATTGATTAATCATATTAGGATGATCGACACAAGAAAGAAGAAACTGAGTATCCAGTACCCCAAGTATTATGGTCCTTGTATCTCAATTTACCCGCGAGCGACATTAAACTAAGCGATTCTGCACCGAGTAACATACATCTTTGTTCTGGTCCTGATCTTGAGCTTGACTTCGATTTCGCTGTGAATCAGGTATGTATTGGTAATAAGTTAATAGCAACCGTGTAATAATTGTATACATAAAATATAATTAATTATTTAATTAATTTTTCGCAATGATTAATTTGTTTCAAATACCTTGTTACTTGTACTATTTTTTAAATATATTTATTGCGAAGTAATACTGGTTTTTCCAAAGCTAATTGTTTTGTTATATATAATACTTTTTAAAATTGCACTAGATAACTCTTTAAAAATTTTGCCTTCTGTTCTCAGGCTAAGAATATTTTTAAGTCCATGTATCCAGATGAAGACTTTTTACCGCGCGCGCCCGATCCAGAGGAAATTGTTCTAGAAGGCGATGAGGCGCCAGGCCCGAAATTCGAGGGTGGTGATATGGCGGAGGGTGAGGAGAAGCAAGACATCGAGAAGACCGAAAAAGAGGAATAATGAAAAACTATCGAATAATGCTTTTGCGTCTCTATTGTCGAAAAGCAGATAAGGCTTTTGCGCCTTTAGTGTCTTTTATCTTCATCATTATTGCATTTCCTTATAAACGTATTCGAAAAAAAAAGAAAAAAAAATAACGAGCATGAGATACAGATTACGAGGCAGTAGTAACGAGAAGCTTCACGGCGTTAACGGTGTTATTTTTTTAATTGTTCGTACACTTTTACACGTTGCTTTTCGTCCATTCAGAATATTTTCGTCGTCGAATCGCTTATTACCGATTCATCTCTCACCTATACAAATACAGTGCTTTTGCATTTTACGCATAAAAAAAGTGAGCTTTGGCAAGGAAGACACAGACTCGTTAGAGGAGCACAAGCGCGTTTACAAGATGGTGAAACAAAATTTACGAAATTGTATTACTGGGTTGATATCTTATACTGCGATTTACATGTTATATATTTATATAATATATATATATGTATTTTTTTATTTAATAATTTTTTCTGTGTAATTAAACGGCGAGAATAAAGAAAATGCAGGTGCATTCTGAAATCCATTTTAGGGTTAGACAGTGTAGCGCTCGTAATCACTAGACTCAAAACACATACCTTATACACCATATAACAATACCAGCAGAGATAATAAGAATGGAAGGACATATTGTAACGTCACGCTTTGATACTTCAGTAGATATTGACAGCATTGCATACCGCAATTTACTTATAAAGTATTGTATGTGCACGAGCCATTAGTCATTTAGATAGACATATTGGGATTGATAGTTTGTATTACATGCATTATACGTAAATGGATATACCTTTAATGCGCTGTCATAATATATCTGTAATAAAAATGAGAAAAAAATGCATAACTTGATTTAAATGAATAATTGATTCCGGTATAATTGTCTTTAGTGTGTCGTTTTCAAATAATTTTTCTTGGTGATTTTGTACTGTTATGTTCACATTTGTCAAATGAAAGGAGAGACACCGGTTATTTTGTCGAATTTTTACGCGATTGCACTCGTCCAACGTGTTTGTGGCTTAAATAAAATAATTTAATAATTTTAATACCTTTACTCTCTTATTGTTAGATATAAAAATCACTTTCAGACTATCACTCACACATTCTACAGTTCAGCTTCGAAGAAGTAACTAATGTTTTATTGCTCCATTCATTTTCGCTTCTACAAGTGAAACGTAATGTAAAAGTTATAAACACAATATTTATAACTGTTAATGAACTACAGTACATTTTTTTTCCATAAAAGATAAGGAATATTCAAGGCTATAAGAAGTAACATTCCTTTATCATTTTCAATTTATATCAATTCTCAGGTAGTAATTTTTTAAAAATATTTTTTATCTTACATTTTGCAGATACCTGTATGAGAATTTTCTCATTATCTATTTTTTATTTTTTTTATGTCTCCTATATTTTCAATAAGAATTTTAACATTAAAATTTATTATTTCAAGTTGTGTATTTATACAATTCAGATTACTAAAACAGCAGAGATTAATTAAGTTATACAATTCGAAGTTGGAAGATATTTGTATAGAAATAGTTTTCGACAGATTAATCTTTACTTATATCACTTTACTTATATCACTTCTTTACAATTAGAGAAATTAATCTTACTTCAATTACATTAGCATTTATTTACAATGTTATACTATTTATATTATCGATACTAAGTAATGATAGCACCTTTTATTTTACAGAACTATATGCTGCTTTCGTAAATATATGTTTATTTTATTTATACATATTTTCTATATGGCATATTCCGAACAAAAATAAAATTGTTTGATCCAACATATATTACCGATTACATATTATAGTAAACTAATATTTCTTTTTTTTTATATACACAAAATTGTTCGCCGTACATTTTTGATGTCTCACAATGCAAATTAGAGTTTGACAACATTTTATCAAAATGTAAGAGATGTAAGATAATGATTTTCTATGTGCACATAAGAAAATCATTATATACATAATTACTATGTTATTCAATTTATTTTAATAAAAATAATAAATGCAAAATGTGATAATATTTTCCTTCTAAAAAAAAAAAAGAATAAATATATCATGGTTAAAAAAAAACTCCATATTTAATTATTGTATTTTTTATAAGTGTACTCTAAACTATTGCATATTATGAAACTTAAACTTATGAGGAGTAGCTTTTCACATATGAAACAAACGAGATTAACACTTCGGAGTTCTGACATGACTCCTAAACTATCGTACTTTGATAAGAAAAACGTAAATGATGAGAAACTTAGATATAGTTTAGCTGTTTTAGCTAAAATTACTGATCTAAAATCGCCCGCTATAAATTCAAAATCTCAGACGGCAGTGTTAATTAAATCACCTTGTCAAATTTATATCTAGCGAAATTTAATCTGTGTAATAAAAAAGAAATTAGAGCTCAAATTTTAACTTGATAACAGATTGCCAATTCTTGAAATCTAATTTTAAGACTTAAGTTTCAAGTCACAGTTGTATTGTATCTCCGCCTTGGTAACAATTTTGCAGATCTGCATTTTAATGTCCGCTTGTACTTCCTTAGGTAAATTCAACACAGTCTGTGCCATACTCTCAAAAAATAACTCGATACTATTCTTATAAGATCTGGATATTGCCTTAGTACGCAAATTTTTACTATTACTGTTACTATTGGTGCTATCATATTTCTTACTATTTGTTGTGGTGCATGACTTTTCAGTTTTCTCAATTTTATTGTCGTCATCTACTGATAGAATATTTACAGTACTGCTGTTATTGCTGTTACTGGTATTACTGCTAACAATAATGCTGTTGTCATCAATAATATTACCGTCGTTGCCACTGCTGTTCGATTTGATACTATTGTTTAACTTGTTAGATACATCTGAAGATGTAGGATATCGAAGAACTTTTTCTTTACTCGGCATAGTACTTGGTATAACAATGCGAGTTGGTTGTGATAAAGTAACCGAGCTCACTGGAGATGCAAGTTTATTCCTTAATACCGAGGAACCAGCTTGTAAGGGTTTCGGCCGAATCGGACGAAAACGGTCAACGGGCCTCTTCAAAATTATCATTTTTGGCTTTGAATCATGCTTTGGCAAGATTGTTTGTGATTTATTGCAGTGTCTAGTTATTTTGTTCTTGTTGTTGTTTCTACGCTTCGGCATGATGACTGTGACATGAGGATAGGATTCTTCTGTCGAGGGCATAAAGTTGACATCTAGATTTTCAGGATTGAAATTTTGTTCAGGTTCCATCGCCTCAATTTTGACAATGCTTTCATCGATTTCATATGTCATTTCGTTGCACACTATCTTGTCCATTTTTTGATTATCGAAAATCGAATTACGTCAAAATCTGGATTCTGTGTTATTCCTCAATCCTGCAACAAAAATTTTATGCCATAAAATATATACCTGTCTATTTCTACATTAATAATTATTACTATATTTTTGAAGAAGGCTTATAGGTATGTTAACTTTCGAGCAGTCTTGTACTTTGTATTGCCTAATTTTTCTTGTGTTAAAAAATTCTATCGTCACCGAATTAATTACTTCTTTAAATAATATAATTTTTACTCTTTAGTTGTATGTAGAGTTGAACATTTGCTGTCTTTCGTATCGTACTCCCTACATATCTAAATTAGTGCACGATTATAATCAGTGCAAACATATATATATATTTTTTTTTTCAACTCTCTACATAAATTCTTTCAAAAATGAAATCTCTAATTCATATCAGACTAAATTGAAAATGAAATAATCTTCGCTCATTTGCGTGAAATAATTTTGATTGTGTTAAAAGTCAAAAGCAATTTACATTTTTATCTTTTCAGTCTACAAAGGAGTAGCAAAAAAGGAACACTTATTTTTTTTATATATAGCACGTTTGTAAAAAGGAGCATATTGATCGAATTTCACTGTTATCTTTTCACAATATTTGTTTTATATAACGGCATTCAAAGAAGAATGCGTGACAAATTTTTACTTGTTTACACACGTAGGAATGTTTTTTAATAAACATGTTTTTATGCATGCCAGAGGCAGAGCGGGAAAAAAAATGCTAATTCGTTAAAATCAGAGATATTATATATTCAAGTGTGTGGGATTTTTCTGACAACGATTTATTACAAATTTGTATGATATCCACATGTATGTACGTACCGAGTGTCATGTTGAATCCAAGTGCCACATCCAACCACCATGTTGTAAGCCGGTGTATTTGTGCAAATGATACAAGAAAATGCGTGATGTTTGCGATACTCCGCAATTAAAAACGGTGAATCTATCTCAGTTTATGTTGTTTTTTTTTTTTCGATATGATGCGCCCTCTCAAACTCGACTTTTCTAAGAGAGGCTCATCCGTCCTATGGTATCGAATTAACTTGGAAACCAACTTTTTCGAAACTGGACACAGTGGATTTCATTCAACGGAAACAGCAGTAATGCAAGTGCCGACGAGGGACGGTAGACCACGATTGGTTTTCACGCAGGAAATTAACCATGGCTATTACACGCGGAAGACTCGACAATTTGTTGCGCTGAACGCGTCGAGGAGAGATTTGCCGGATCGATCGGATCTGAAAGCAAGAGCCAATCGCCAAGCCAATCGCTTCAGCCGCTCAGCCAATAATATCGTGATGATAAAAGAATATTCCAAGTAACTTATTTTTTCATTCGTTGCGAACGTAGCTTATATAATGGGTGCGCATTTATACAGAAGGACAGATATATGTGTAGGCTGTTGCTCTCTCACACACAACAGATTTATGATAAAGAGAGCAACAAGCTTTCATTATTAAATTCATGATTTATTATTATACTGATGCTATTGTTATACAAATTTATTATTATGCAATAAATACATTTACGTCATCATAATCAAGAGACACAATCGTGTCTCAATGCTAAAGAAATCGAGTATAATATATACATTACTGCAAAAATGTTCTTTTCTCATATAATTTGTATATAGAATATGCAAGATATTAATAATAAAAGTGTAAATGAAAACTGATTATTATCACATCATAGATATATGTTATAGAAATGTCAGTATAACAATAAATCATGAAATTAATATCATAAACTATTAATGTCCAAATTTTGGTAATTTACATATCTGTTGATCAATATTAAATAAATATAAATAAATATAAATAAATATTAATCATGATGTAAGAAGACAAGTGTAATATTGCGCATAATGTCGGAATAATAAAAATTGGAGTAAATTTCTTCTAATAGCAAAACTTGGTTTTTAAAACATTTTGGACAAATTTCTAATTAGTCGAAATGAAATGACGACTGCGCACTCTTGGAAATACTTCGCCTGTTTTCTTTACACTATGCTATTAATATTAAATGTAACTATTAATACTATTATATAATTAAATAATAATAAATATTAATATTTACGATTTGTTTGTCTCAATGTATTTATCATTTCTTAAGATATTGATATACTATACAGGGCATTTTGCAAACAACGGTGTTCAACAACTTAACAGAATTATGTGTACAAGCGATTTTAAATTTAAAAATTATGACATTATATATACATATTGTCACACGTTTAATTAATAATTAATTTGAGATAAATTTAATAATTCAATTTTACGTAAGTAGTACACGATCCCTCCCGTCCCCTTCGTTTTGTAATACACTATATGTTCGCCTCATTGTCATTAGTGATATTTTCGTTAATGGGAGATCGGCCTTATCGATCCGATCGGTGGGTCCTGCCATTTAAATTCCTCTTGATAGGTGACGTAGACTACCCAGTAGCAGACGTTGAGTAGGCCGAAAGACGCGGGAAAGACTATTCGCGCCACCCTGTCAATGTAAGATACGCTGTTTATGGGCCTCTTCGCCATACGATCGCCGCATTTTCGATAGTTGCTCGTCGCTTCTCGCTGCCGACGACGCCTGTAATTTTAGATATTAATTATAGCGCCTCTCTCTCACAATCTATAGAGGTATAACTGTATTGATAAAAAAGTAATAAAAAAAACAAAATAAATATAAATTTATAGATATGCAGAATATTTCATAATTTACTTTTAATTTTAAGATTTTAATTTTAATGAGCTTTGCTGATTCATTTATAAATGGTAAAAAACAAAAAGTAGTAATAAAGATAAAACTATATTAGAATATTTTAAATTGAGATAAAAATTTAACAGAAAATGCTGCAATAATATCGTGCGCCTTAATAAATTGGTTTTCTTATTAACGTATATACATGATATACCTGAAAGCTTCATCGCCCGCTAAACAATAGAGAAACTGCCGCCACATCGGTAAAATAAGTTCAGTTTGCGTCTGTCTCTCCATCGTCGACGGTTTCGAAGAAACGGCGACCGTGATGGAATGACAGGAGTCTCGTTCGTATGTGACACCATCCTGCCGAGAGCGAAACTTGACTTAGCAACGATGCAATTGATAATTCACAAAATAATTCTAGGAAAAATTGTCAAGAATTTATAAAAGAAAAATAAAAGACAAACAAATGCAATTATGTATTACATTTTAAATTGTGCATGTCTCTTGTAAATTTGAAGATTGAGTACTTTAATAGATTTATAAAATTAATTTCTGCACTTTAATCATTTATCAATTAATAATTATCTGTAAATTAATTTATCTGTTTTTAGAAAAGCTAAAATACAGATAATGTAAAGATCTGGAAATATCTGAAAGGCATTTCATTTCTGCATTTTTTAAAATCTTTTTGGACTTCTAAGACATGTCTATGATATTATTTGAGAGGGCTTATTGTTACGAATTGTATCCCAGTTCTATCTAAAGTCCAAAATCGGGACATAAGACGTCTTTTAGACGCCTTTCACGCAGACGTTTCTCGCAAACATATATTTAAGGCGTCTTTCAGACGTCCCTTATGTCCTGATTTTAGACTTTATGTTGTCTGCGATATTTTTATTGAAATATCGAACTAACGCTGTATAGCGCGGACATGAGAGAACCACGCTTCCTAGTACTCGTGTCGATAATTTCCGGATGAACAGCCTGAGGGCTGCGAGAAATCATCGTGCGAAATGTATCCTCGAACTCCTCGCTCGCAGAGCTCTTCCACTCTTCCCATTCTTCGTCGTCCAACGGAATCTCGCCGCTATTAACCTAAAAATTAATTAAAATTGGATTGATGCTGATTTAAATTGTATATTTTTTTCCTATATATATTTTTAATTAAAGTTGCGTCGACGCGAAAACAATTTTGGATACAATTTAAATAATTCTTTTTCCAACTGCAATAATTTTTTTACATATTGAGCTAACATTGTGTAAATTTGAGGGATAACTAATAGGTTTTCTAGCGTTTGCATACATCGAAAATATACAGAATGTCACAGTAACTATTTAAATATTTTCGAATCTATAAAATTGATAGGAAAATTTGTGTAACTAAACTCGATGGTACGAAGAGAAATATCCTATCATATGGTGATAATAATTTTTATCTCGGTGGAGGTATTTCGGAGATTTTAAGATCAACTTCAGGCCTTCACCTGGACAAAAATTATTATCGCTATATGATAGCTCCTTTGTACTGTGCAAATTATTTTTTTCTCTGAATCTTATAGATTCGAAAATATTTAAGGTAGAAATTACTTAATGTGATACTCTGTATATTGTAAAAATAAAAATCCATTAGAATATCGCAATCGTTCTTTCGCGTGTTTAGATATTCATGCGATTGAAGAGGACGAGAAAATATCGCGATTATGCAAAATCATCACCTTCGTGAAGTAATGAACGCCAGCGAACTCCAAGAGGGTGGCGATACAGTAACCGAAACTCATCAGTAGAAACCAATCCAGAGCGGTAGCGTATCTAACTTTCGGCAAATCCGTTCTGGAATCGAGGCTTATCGTCGATAGCGTCAAGACGGTGGTGATACCTGGAAAATTTATGATACAGTGCTATCCGCATGGTCGGATTTTCTATTCAGGCACCGCAGGCATGTGCCTTATAGGACGCCTATGAGACTTTCGCTCGTAAAGGGAAGAAAAGTGATAAGGGGCATTAAACAAGGCATACAGAATTTTTTTTTGTACGACAAAGGATAAATTACAAGAGCGAAAAATAATGAAGATGTGAAGTGACAGAAAGGGACGCCTTACAAATTAATTAATTGTAACGTGTACCTAAACCCACTCGATCGCTCGTCGCCTCGCGATGGATCCAAAAGGATACCCAACTTAGCACGACTATCAAAACGCACGGCACATAAACCTGTTGATGTAAGAAAGTCCCTTCGTTACATCGCATAAAAAAAAAGGATATTTGCAGCGAGCATGATTTCCGAGCGCTTACTTGTATGAGAAAGTATCCGGTGTGGCGTTGCAAGTTGAAAGATACTTGCAGTATCGAGAACTCGCCCTCGCGACGGAAGAACGTGAGATTCCTGTACGGCGAACCCATTAAATCGAATTGCGACAGTGTCATTCCGGGTATGAAGTTCACCGATAAACCTTCCTGCCATTCGTAGACCAGCTGTCCCGATGTGTACGCGTCTAACAAAAATACAGAGAGACGTAATAAATATTATATAACGCGAAAAGAAACAAAATACTAATTGCCGAATAAAATATTAGAAGCATTTCCAAGAGATACCCGCGTCTGCTACCGATTCAGAGATATCCCATTATATTATAAAATTCGTGAATATCCAATAAGTATAGACAATCAATTAATCATTTCAAATATATTTCTTTCGTTCTTGTATTCCTATGATTGTCAATTTTAAACATCCAAAAATTCATCAACATATATTCGCCGGATATATGATCCTTATGCCGCATCCCTTTTCTTTAGCCACCCGAATACCAATGACTAATCTTAAAACACGCGTCCCGATTCTGGGAGACGAGTTCGATCACTGGCGCGCGCTTATGATAATAAATTTCGATATTACGCCGCATCATGGTCCATGATGCCAGCTGTTATGGCAGAAGGTGGAATCGCGCGCGGGTACCGTAAAGCCGAAACGTAAAGGAATATCGAATTTATTGCAATCGTAACTTCGGCGTGGACGATCGCAAACACTCGCCGAAGGATAATATCGCTGGCACGTTATGTACGTGAGGAACAGCATAACGTGGCGTACAAGAGCATACGAATGAAGTATTATTTGTTCTGATTTTCTCACAAATTACGTCTCTGTTACGGCTTGAGTCTCAATTGATGCGCGAAGCGCACAGAAATCATGTATTTCCAAATGATGAGTGCAGTATAAGAGGACAGCGGCTTACTGAACTAAACGAAAGTAATACGGAATGGATTTCATATTATATCGTGGAAACAAGACTATGTTAAGAAAAACTGTGCCAATAAATGCAATATAAAATAAAAGATGGTGGAAATAAAAATTATAGAAATCCACATAATTTCTTGTTTCATTTGAAACAAGAAATAAAATTACAGAATATAAATTTGTTTCGTAACTTTGATTTTAAGATTAAAAACTATTCGCATTTTTCTTACTTCAAAAATTAATTTTTTTTTTTATATCGTGGCTCTTATCTTCCCCTAAAATGCAATATTACTATGTGATCAGTTAAAAAATCGATACATACAGCTTCCCATTATTAACGGGCAAAATTGTCGATCCATAGGGAAGTTCCTCAGCTCCATGGGACATTTGGCCTTAATAGTGAGCCTGCATTATAACGAGACATTAAAAAAAGAATCGTGATCGAAGCTAGATTATATAATATGCAACATTTATACCTAATTCTGCTCTTCATTTTATATCATCTTTCCATTATATTATAAAATTTTCCTTTTATATGTCGTGTATAAATTACATCTCTCAAAAATATACATCTATTATAACTTCTCTATTATACTTCGAGAGCAACAACGCCACATTTTCGTATAAAATTTTGCGATAGAGTATCTCACATAAAGCATAAAATTAAACTTCTTCCATTCGTATATTTTTTGATCATGTGTATTTTTTTTCGCGAACGCCGAGACGACGTTTGTAAAAGAAGTCCGAGAATATCTCGCAGGTATCGACGAAATCGGATTCGATTTGCCACACAGTGCGTAAATTCACGCGCGAACAAACCTCATGGAGTACAATATATCGCCGTCCTGGGAGATCCTTAGCAATTTGTTCGGCACAGTGATCGTGTGCACGTAACTATGCTTGCCGTTGTAGAAGTAGGTATCGGGACGCCAAATCCTCTCAACCATTTTGATGCTGAGGCTGAGGGACTTGATCGGGCCCAGGAAGCTCAGACGTGAGTCGCGCCACGATTGTCGAAAATAGCAGTCCATCGAGTAATCCTAGCGGAAGGATTTTTGAGGCTGTATTCAGGAGTAAACAGATTCGAAGGCAAATAAGACAAGAACGAAACTACGCGTAGCAAGTAATAGCGTACGTGCGCCAGTAAAATATGGCCGATTAAAAATTATTGCTACATAATTTCATATCAATTTTGACTCTAAGTAAATATTATATATTATATTTTTGGTATTGCAGGCATAAATTTACAAAAACGTAAATTACTTTGCATTAATTTTTTAAAGAATGTAATAAAAAAATAAAATTAATGAAAGAAGAAAGTTAAAATCATGAGACTAGTTAGCGATTATTGTTCCTACAATGAATGGCTGATTTGCATGAATAATTAGAAATTGATGTATTTAGAATACTTTATATGGCACTGCAAAAATAACACAAAAAATAAAAAATAGATTTACGAGTCTTCCTTACTGAAAAGTTTCGAATCTTACCATATCAAGTTCAGACACTGGACCCATACTTCTAATTAAAATATTGGTTTTGACTACTGTGGGCACGCCTGAAAAAATGAATATATCGAAACTCCGTGATTTATGAAATGTCAATATCAGCATCTCGGAAAGAGTTTGAAATATATAGCTTTAAAAACTAAAAAGGGAGCTACCGGAATGACGGTGACGATCAGAGTTGTAGGTGACAATCAGATTTGTTTGAATAATTTGGAATATGCAGCGCTTGAGAGAAAGAGAGAACATATTATACATAATATAATTTAATTTTAGTAGACAACAAATCGTTGCAATTAATTCGGCATTGTAGCCTGGAGCCCCATATTATTGATAATTAAAGCGGTTACTGTGTGTACTATCTTTCTCAGCTCTTCAGAATTCAATTATACCCGATATTATATTTTCTGTTGTATGATGCTGCGATTAGCGCGGGTATAGGACATAATGCATCATGAAATAGTTTCCGTGTAGAGTGACCGCAGCGCAATAAAGCTCGTATTCATAAAATTAATATCGATATTAAATGCATGCATACGCTTATTGCGTTTGCATGCAGTTTACGCGTTGTATCCGGTGCTCTAATGTCTAATTTATAAAATTAATTTTTTCGAATTAATTATGAAACATTAAATAAAATCTGCAATGAATACGTGTGACCATCTACATTAATAAAAATATATCGATTTCCAGAAAGAAAAACATCTACTTAATTTTTTTATGATTTCCGAATAGCAGGAATTTAAGCCATAATTATGTTTATTAAAGCACTCCATTTCTCACTGATCTTCATACTTCTTACCTTTACCGTGCGTGGGTAGTTGACTGTTCTCGTAATTCATTAGTAGGTTCTCGAGGACCATGGTGATGTTCTTCGAGACAACATCATTCGGCGTAGCGCGGGGCATCCTGCTGTCAACCGTCAACGTCGACTCCAGCGATTCGGATGACGTCATCGCGATGTCCGATGCCGCTTTGGTTTCGTACGCATAATAATGATACTTGTACACCGTGAGTGGCACGAGAATGACGAAACTGCACACATAACACAAAAGTAGGGGTTCATTGTTCCGTCGCGATGAATTCCGCAATATCGCGATATTCTGTTTACGTAGAGAATTAGGTGATAAGTTTCTTGTAAAATCTGAAATGCTCTCGTGTTATCTTACGAGAATTTAATCTAACTTCGGTCTAGAAGTAAATGTTTCGTTGCGGAAACGTTTGCGTACTCGAGTCTCTTGCTAACTAATAATAAAATTACACTCACAGTTTGATAATTAAGTCTATTGAGAAATGAAGCGAATTGTTGCCGAGCTATTTAACGCGGCGGAAATTTTCGCGACAGTATATGACAATCACGGACTCGGAACCATATCACGCAGATTATTAACGAACTCGGTGCAAACTACGCGTAATGTAATTTTAAACAAAGTCGTCAAATTAAAAGTTAAAGTACATTTTATTGCTACTTTTAATAATTGAAGCTTTTGCCTTAACTTATTAATTGTACCGAAATCGCGAATAAATTATAGAAATAACCACTTGGAAAAGTGGAGTGACATAAGAAGATTTTATAACACCGCGCGATGTCTCTCTTTTTGTGATGAACTAAAAGTCAGCAAATCGAAATACGATAATTTAAATAGACGCGGACAAATAGATTGAGAAGACTGTAACGTGATGAAAATGATAAATAGGTAATATATCTTACTGGATGTCGATGCCTGTTAAATTATAACTTAACATTATGAATGGGCCCTAAATGTCGATAATTGAAATTCATTAAGCATTTAACGAACATGAGTGCACTTTATGAATGTGTGAATAGGATTGTTCACCGTAGACGGTCCGATTTGGTTTTAAAGTTGATATTCTGTCCTACCGAGGGGAGACGCATTTCAATCCGTATCGATCACTCGCATTTTAAGCCCAAAGAGAGCCAGTTAGTACTACCAATAGATCCCGAGTTTCAAATTTTTTATAACGCTTTCGCTTGCAACGAGAACCAATTCTTTTGCATAATTGACAACGCATGCGATATCTTTCAACAAATTTAGTTAAATTAATTTATTGTTAGTGTTAAATTGATTATTAAATATTTCCAATTTCTTAAGTACTTATATTCATATTTATTTCTATTAATTTATAATATATATATTTTTTTTTTCTTAAATTATATTTTTATTAAAAAAAAAGAATATCAGACACGCTCGAATCGCACAGAGCGCATACCGTATATTCATATATGTATGTCCATTGTTAATTAAATGTTTAAAAACATTCTGCACCGTTACGTCGAGTGAAAATCGATGGCACGTTTTCAAAAAGATGCGCGCGGTATTCGAGGCTTTCCTCCTCGAGCGGTGTAACGTGACATAATAATGACGTTAGCGTTACAAAGATGTTACAAGGAGTTATCTAGGGCATGCTGCGTTCTCTCTCAGCTCTTATGCCCACATTCCCCGTCGCCCTACCGACATAGTCACCACCGCGAAATAGCATCGTCCGCGTGCCAGAACTTTGTTCCGGCGCAGGATCCTGAGTCCTGACTATCCGCTATCGATAAACCGCGGGCTCGTGACACACGCGACGGAACGTCCGCCTGCTAATCGTAAGTGCAACACGATCTTGTTGCTCTCGCAATATCCTCCGAAGTCTCCTGCAAATTGCACGTAATTTCATTATAACGGAAAAACGCATAACGATGTAGTCAGAAACTGCAGTGAGATTTTGAATGTACATACGCTTGATTGATCAATGAGATACATTCGCATTCACGGAATAAGTTTGATAAATTACCTTAATTTTAATTTCTAAATTTTATGTATATGTATTGTACATAGCTCTGCATGCGGAAAGACAGGTGTACATATACGTGATATACACTTCACGTCCAGTGACTTCTTAGAATTCTATCGATGTCTGAACGTGCACAACTCTCTCCATTAATTTCCGTTTTAATTTTTATCGCGGAGCTCGAAAGCACGGCAAGTAATGTAATAAAGTCGCAAAAGGGTACGACGACGAGCACGTTTGGAGTTCGGTTTAAGGCATAAAGCGAGGCCGGTATCGCGACGGGAAGGAAAAGTGGAGGCGAGTGCCTCTTGTCACTCGCCGATTCAGCAGCATACATCCTGCGGTCCACGAGGGCTCGCTTTCGCCGTGTTTCGAGAGAACGTTGCGCCCCGTTACATCACAATCTCGTGAGATGCGCATTTTGCACCCGGTTTTCGGCGGTCTTTGAATGGGCCGTGTATAAGATTTCGAGTGATGCCGGAACAAGCCATGTTTCGTTCATCGGATGTCGGATACGCAATATCGACACTGTTTCGTGTAAAGTAATATTATATTTTTAATGAAAAGAAATATTGACATAATAAAATAATTATAAGTAACATAACCATCTCAAGTAATCACCATACAGATGAATCATAATCTACTTCAACCTATAGTGCTTAATTATTAGTGAATAATCAACGTAAAATAAAAGATTATTCCTGCAATAAACAACGGCTTGGCACTTATCCAATTTTCAGAATTTAATTATAATTTAATTAATAAGTTGTATTTTAAAATAAGATTAAAAGGATTTGTCACAATTCATCAAAAATGGCTCTCCGTCATTGTTTCGTAATTTTATAAAATGCAACCCAAATGGCAAGGTTTCTTTTTCTTTAATAGTTTTTTTATTATTATCGTCGCTTTGTGTGTGCGACACAAATCGAAACTAAATTTACCTAACAGAAATTCAGAGAAATTTCAATTGGCGCTCATAAATTTTATTTTATTAATTTAAAATCTTGGAAGTAATAAAAAAGTTCATTAAAAAGTCATTAGAAAATTATTGTTATACAATACGGATAGATGGTTTTGCAGAATTTATGTCTTTTAATTTTGCTTCAAGCTTGCCTCTTTTTTTTATACCACGTTGCATTCTCACTGTGTCAGTCTCATCTCACTGAAATATAAGAGAAGGTATTTATTAATTAAAGATATTTTGGTAACGTTTATTTATGATTGTTCACAAATTTATGCCCTGAATTCTATGAATGCGCTGTGCGTTCTAAA